ACCAAAAACCAAAAACCAAAAACCAAAAACCAAAAACCAAAAACCAACCAAAAAAGACAAAGCAACAGCCTGTCTCACTTTAGGTTGTTTCTTTTAGTAGTTTGTTTACTGCTTTGTAAAAGGAGGTAATTAAAAAGCCAAACAGTGATAACAAAACATTTGAACTATCTATAATAAATTTTTCTTGAATCCTTAGGGAACAGAATATTTAAAGCCCAATTATACCAAGGTGAACATATATTTCTTTTTAGTCTTTGAACTGTAAAAGTACAATGTTGTCTACACAGATCAGGTCCCCTGACCCCGAGCTCAAGAGAACAGGAATGAGAGGAAGAGCCAGAGAAACCCAGTAGCTATCACTGATGAATAGCTGGGTCTGCTGGACCACCCCTGACTTCCCATCACAACACATAGCAAACCTAGAATGTAGGAATAATAAAAACCTAGCAGAACGTAGAGAATATCTTGCCATCATCAACTAAGCCTTGGTCCATGCTTTGTCCAGCATTTGCAGGAATTATGTCTGACCTTAATGTGAATAGTTAGACTCATATCTAGACCTTAGAGGAAGAAGATAGTCCGAAGAATGAAGAATGTTCCAGTTTTCATCAACATACTCCCTCTTTCAGAGACTGAGAGGCATTACCATGGGTCAGAGCATGGTCACACCGTAACTTACCTGGACAGGTCAACAGAACGCATGGGAAGGCATGAGACCCACTTGGTTTAATCAATACCATAATATACAACAGCATAGGAACCACAGATCCATAAAAAAGCAAAGCAATGCCATAACATTTACTCACCTAAACTGATGACTGTGTGCCCAGGTATCAAATTTCATTAAAATAGTCTAAAATCATTAAGATATTTAATAAGAAAATGCTCAGAAAGGACTGTTGTGTCTATAAGGTGCTATAAACACAGCATGCACATAAATAAAGGGTGTCTTGGTTGAGAAAATAAGACTGTATGTGTCCAGAAGTCACATACATGAGGCTGTTGCACAAGAATAGTATAACAGAAGCTATTCTGTTTGGTAGGATTAAGGGCATAGTTTCTTCTTCAAATCAAGTTTGCATGACCATGTATTAGTTTATCAACATACAAGCACAACAATTCCTTCGTTAAGAGGGAAACACAACTCCAATGATTTTAATTTTTTTTTAATGCATGTATGTCTATGAATGTATATCACATGTGTAGGAGTGTCTACAGAGGTCAGATGAAGGCACTGGATCTCTTAGAGATGGAGTTGGCGGTGGTTGGGAGGTGCCCCACATGGGTTTTGGGATCTGAACTCAGCTTCTTTTGGGGAGCAGGAAGTGTTCTTAACTGCTGAGCCATCCCTCTAATCCTTCTAATTTTTGTTTGTTTGTTTGCTTGTTTTGAGACAGGGTCTTAGTATATGGGCTGTGCTGTGATTACAGGTATGAATGTGGCGTGTGTGTGTGTGTGTGTGTGTGTTATTTTTGTTGGTTTCTCTTGTTTTTTTTGTTTGTCTGTTTTTAGTTTTTTCAATGCCATGGCCTTATGTATGTGAGGCATGCTCTTTATCACTGAGATGCAATCTCATCCCTTTGTGGCAAATCTTAAGGGACTTTTTTTTTTGGTCTTTTGATCAATAAGTGTTGTACCCATAGACAGTCTACTGTATATCCAGAACAATAGAGGCCAAGATGTTAGAAAATTTCTCGAGCAGGAAGCTGTACAGATGGTACAAGGCACAATTGGAGTCTATGATTTCATCACCATGGTACAAAGTGCATCTGAGAAACGCTCACTAATACTCAGATATGTGACAAGAGCCAGCACCAGAGCCTCCCCTCTACAATAGCCTTCTTATCAAATAGGACTGCACTGAGATGATTTCACCCTTTTGTAGGTAAGCCTTCTGTGTCTTCCCTGAAGCCTGGAATTGGGATCTAGAAGCAGTCTAGCTCCTGTTCACTTCAGACTCAGGGCTGAGTTAGGACTGACAAGCAAGGGTGACACACCTTATTCTAAGCATCGCTAATAAGAAGATATAGTTTTTTGTCTCCAAATCTTTCAAGAAACTTTGACCATAATGTGATTGCTTCAGAAGTATGAACACTAACAATTCTATCATTGCAAGATCCACAAGTGAGGTCGTGATAGAGGAACCATGACACTGTTTAAGGTATTGTTTAGGAATTCACAGAGACAAAAAGCGCCATGGATTGCTGCTGTCCTGAAAATGTCCCTTCCAGAAGTGATATCCTTGAATCAAATAGTCAATTGGTGGGATTTGTGTTTTATAAGTGAGCATAGAGAAATAAATGGACAGGTAAGGTAGCACACACTTTTTAATCTAACCCAAGGGAAGCAGAGGCAGGCATATTTATCTGTGTGTTCAAAGCCCAACCTGGGTTATATAGTAAGTTCTAGACTATCCAGGACTACATAGAGAGACTCAACTCTGTCTTACAAATAAACAAAAACTAATAAGCATAGAAAGCAGGAAAAAAGCACATGTTTACTAGTCATTCAAAGTCTGAACATGAGGAAAGAGGAGTCAGTAAGATTAGCACAGAGGGATAACAGGACTTAGGAGGATCCTGTCAACCAAGGCTGCCCCTGCAGACCATCCTCCTATTCTTATACCAATTTCCTTCTAGTCTATACTATGCACTAAAGCTTTCCAGAAGTTAATGAAACCTATAGACAGAAGCCATGGATTAGTGTTTGAGAGTTTAAGGATTGGGGGTTCTGTCTGGTGTATGTGAAGGGTGATCCAGCACAGTAGATAAAGGCCAATCTAAACCTTTATATGTCATAGAACTAAATTGTATGTCCCCCAAATGTCATTGAGGTTTCATAAGGTCTTCAGTGTGAAGCCTAAACAGACAGAACTAGTGTTCTCATAAAGAGGGAAAGAAACATCAACATGCTCCTTCAGAATGTGGCACAGAAGACAGGCCCTGTGAGGAAGCTGGCTATCTGCAAGCTGAGACCAGTACTGATCTGATTTCCTGGGTCTGGAGTTATAGTTTTCAAAAGTCTAGAACTAACTGGCAAAAATATAGTTCTACTGCTTGAGCCTCCTGGCCAGTGCTGTTTGTTAAGGCAGCCAGAGCTGAAGCATACAAGCAGAGAGAAGGCAGAGTGGATGGGAAAGCTACAGGATGCACAATGCTTCCCTTCATTCTCTTCATAGGGCAACTGACCCCTACGCCTGTGTGTAGGGTTTATGATCAAAGTCTCAGAAATAAACACCAAATTTGTGGGCTGACAATGCCATAAGCATGTCTGCCAAACATCTCTGGGGTTAATCTAAAACAATTAGCAATTCACAGGCATGTTTACTACAGAGGCACAGGGGGTTTACATTAGTGTGAAATATCCCCAAACCAAAACATGTGTTAAAAGAAATAAGTCTGGCTATTTTTCTAAAACTTCAGAGTAATTTAAGAAGGAAACCTTAGAGCAGGGTGCAAGGAGAAGGGAAAAGGAAAGGAGGATTAAAACAAAAAAACTTTTGAGACACATTTTTCCTGAAGGTTAAGTGGTAATGTCATTTTCTAGCTTGGTTAAGTATTATGATTGCAATTCAGTTATTTAAATGTGAGAAACAAAACAAGCTGAACTGAGGGCCAAGTTAAGAAGCCAGGAAACTTAAGGCAAAATACACTATGAAATCCATGCAGGGCACATTCAGCTAAACCCTAAACAGCTTTTTTTAC